TCTGGGTAACATTCACTTTTTTCCACTGTCATACCCTCGGGCCCAGCCTGGGCTCCTAATATTGTCCTAGCTGCCCTCTGCCTTCACTCTTGGCCCCTTCTATACCTTCGCCTGTGCAACAGAGGACTCTTTCAGAAGCACAAATCTGATCATCTGACTCCTCCCTTAAAGCCCTTGAATGACTCCCCATTGCCCTTAGGAGAAGGCTCTAAAATCTTTAACAGCTTACACAGATCTTCCTCATGTCTCCCTTCATTTTTTTCATCCTCAACTATTGTGTCCTCCCCACTCCTGCCTTCAGCACCTCACCAAATAAACTCACAGTTCTCAGAAAGCTCCATTTATTTTTCCTCTGGGCCCTAACATGATGGCCCACTCTCTACTCTTCTTCTCCTTCATGAACAACTTCAGTTCATCAAGTCTTAGCTTACTATCCCTTTCTCTAAGATTAATTTCTCAAAACTAAGTTAAGAGGGGCCCTTCCAGCCCTCTACAGTTTTCTCAATGGTTAGATTCGAACATCAGTCTGCAGTGGTGCATTTGGGAGGCAACCAATCAATTTTTCTCTCTCAAATCAATGTTTCTCCCTCCCTGCTTCCCTCCCTTCAACTCTCTCTAAAAATCAATGGAAAAAATATCTTAGGGTGAGGATTAAAAAAAAAAAAAGAGGGGCCCCTCCATGACATCCTGTGCTGATATTTCATGTAGCACTTACCAGTTGCTATTATGGTTGCCTGTTTGATTATGTGCTGCCCTACTATGCAGTGTGCTCTTTAAGGGCAGGGACCTGATCACTGGCACATAGAGGCTGCATTTAAGCCTTCAGAGAATGAATGAATGAATGAATGATATAAGATAGAGGCAGGGACCAGATCATAAAGGGCTTTATATTTAAGGCTAAGAAGTCGATTTTGGTATTAAGTTAAGTCAAGGGCAAGTTATGAAAGGTTTACAATAATGATGTTTACTAGCAGGTCATGTAAATGAGTTAAAAGTAAGTTGATTTTAAAAGGTACGTATTCATTTCCCACTGAAGGAACCAAAGTTCCTTACAGGAATAACTAATTCTAGGTCTGGAGGAGGAAATACACAACATGAGTCTGAAACAGCTTATGCCGGAATGCAAAGGGTAACAGGACCCCAAAGAACACACGAGCCCACATGAAGGTACTCTTAATAGCCAAAATGGTACAATTTCAGTATCAGAAGAAACAATGAATGAGGTGGTTGAAACACAATAAATATATACAAATTTTAGCACCTCCACACAGAAATAAAAAAGCACTGAACTCCATTAGGAGCACATACAACAAGTATCTTATTTACATCTTAGGTGTTTTTTTTTAATGATATTTATTTTTATTTTTAAATATATTTCTTTATTGATTTCAGAGAGAAAGGGAGAAGGAAAGAGAGATAGAAACATCAATGATGAGAGAGGATCATTGATCAGCTGCCTCCTGCACACCCCCCACTGGGGATCGAGCCCACAACCCAGGCATGTGCCCTTGGCCGGAATCGAACCTGGGACCCTTCAGTCCGTAGGCTGATGCTCTATCCACTGAGCCAAGCTGGCTAGGGCTACATCTTAGGTCTAACAAACAGAACGTAAAAAATATTTTTAAGGCAATAGAGGACATTTTAATACAAGACTGGGTATTTGACAGTACCAAAGAATTACTGATAATTTTGTTGGGTGTGATAATCATGATATTATAAGAAAATGCTTGTTTTATTTTTATACATAGGAGTTAAATAACAACGTTTGTGATTTCTTTTGTAAAAAGATGGTAATAGAGATAGCTTAGAGAATATCTACATGTTTTCATATGCTAGCCTAAAAGAGTATTAGTTTTAATTTTGGTGTTCATTTAAAGTGATTTTAAGCTAATTACATATTAAAATAGGCTCTAGCTTTGTATATGTGTGGCTTATATCCCTGAAGGCAAGAGGGAGAGTTCTGCCACCATCTTGACTCAAGAAAAGTATATTTCTTACAAAGTTAATTCTTGATGGCAACATATTTAAAATGCAGTGATTTAAAATGCACTCTCAAAGATATAGTATATGCACAAGACACACAAGAAATGGTCTTTGCCTGCAAGCCACCTTCAGTTTAAAGAAAATAAATATTCTTTAGGTTTTTAAATTAGAACTCTGTCACAAATGTGAGTTCTGTAACCTGACCATTGTAAACATGTACACAGTGTTTCTGGGATAGTGTATGAAAAGCCTTTTCCAGCTATCAAACATTATACAAATATAAGTGATTTCATTTATTTATTTATATACTTACTTACTTACTTACTTACATTAATCCTCACCCAAGGATATTTTTCCCATTGATTTTTAGAAAGGGTGGAAGGGAGGGGGAGAGAGCGAGAGAAACATCGATGTGAGAGAGACACATTGACTGGTTGCCTCCAGCACGTGCCCCAGCCAGGGCTGGGAATCTAGCCTGCAACCGAGGTGCCTGCCCTTGACCAGAATTGAACCCTCAACCCTTCAGGCTGCAGGTCTAACCACTGAGCAACTCATTAGGGCTATAAGGTTTTATTTTTATTAAATGTCTGGAAAAATGAAAAATATAGATAAAATAGAGTTTGTCATTAGATCAAGAATTCTTTTTGCCACATTATTTGGATGAAAATTTATGTTTTCTAGCTTATGAAAATATAGAATATTTGTTAACATGAATATAATTTCCCTTTAGTCCTCAACTGAATAATGGTGTCTTCTGGTACTGACTTTTTCTTATTTAAATTAGTCAAAGGAGGTTCGTCATCCATATAAAAGCAAAAGTTCTCTGAATGTTCAAAGAAACTGTGACTATATGTAACTTCTCTGTAGAAATATAGATTACTGAATCTAATTTGAAATTATAAAGTATATGATACCTTAATTTATATATACATTGATTTTTAGTATAGAGATTATTGTGCTTTTTCTTATGAAATCTGTTCTGGTCTTTTGGAAAACAAGTAAGTAAGTAAGTAAGTATAACAATCTATTATCATAGGTGCCAAAGGATAAAAATGGTTTTTTCCAAGGATCTTCACAACTTGCTGACTCTTATTGGGAAAGACTAAAAAACCAACTTCAAAATAATTCTGCTGATACTGTATTTTTTTCTGAGATTTTGCTTTTCTAAGCTTATTTGTTTGGGAAAACTACATTTCTGCTGTTTTTGGAGTATCTCAGAGGATAGAGGGATTTTACAGTTATTCTTTAAATGCAATGTGGCAATATCTAGAAGTGGATATATAGGAAAGTAAAATCTCAAAGCTCATTCCTACTTTATTTAGATACTATTTATTAAACACTGTATGCTAAGCACAATTGGTAAAGTATCAAAACAGCACAATGGGATAGGTTCTATCATTACCCTCATTTTATAGATGAGGAAATTGAGGCACAGACAGACCAGGTAACTTGTCTATGGTTATTACCTAGCTGAGTAGGGGCAGATGTAGGATTCCAATTAACCTGTCTGAGCTGCCCCCGATGCTTATAATCATATTCTTCCGCCTCTATCATGGTTATCACTGAATTTTTAATGATTATTTATCTTCCTATGTCTCCACTAGAAAATAAACTGTTTTTTCAGGAAGTCTGAAAAAAACTTTTTTTTTGTTTTGTTAATCCTCACCCAAGAATATTTTTCTATTGATTTTTTTAAGGAGTGGAAGAGAGAGGGAGAGACAGAGAGAAACATCGATGGGAGAGAAACACATCGATTGGTTGCCTCCTGCATGAGCCCTGACCACTTAATGCACATTGAAGCCCCAACAACTGGTCCGGGGAGGAGCCTGCAACCAAGGTACGTGCCCTTGACCGGAATTGAACCTGGGATCCTTTGGTCTGCAGGATGACACTCTATCCACTGAGCCAAACCAGGTAGGGCTGGAAGTCTGAATTTTTCTTTCTTTTTAAAAAAATCTATTTTTATTGATTTCAGAGAGGAAGAGAGGGGAAGAGAGAGATAGGAACATCAATGATGAGAGAGAACCATTGATCAGTTGCCTCCTACTGGGGATCAAGCCCCCAATCCAGGCATGTGCCCTTGACTGGAATCAAATCCCAAACACTTCAGTTCGTAGACCAACGCTCTATCCACTGAGCCAAACCGGCTAGGGCTGAAATTTTCTCTTAATAAGAGAGGTGTGTGATTGGATAGGGGAGAACATCTTAGATTAAAAAAAAATAGAGTGAGAGGTAGTGGGCAAGAATCAAGATTCCATGTAAATAGCTGATATCAAGGTTTGTGGCATAAGTGGTAAAAATATTTTTAATTCAAGTCAGAAATTCTAAGAAGTTTCTACCAACTTACATAGAACAAGAAACCTCTATCCTATCATTACTTTGCACTCTGCCTTTCTGAATCACTAGTTGTGTGAGCTTGCACAGGTTACTTAGCCTTTCTGAGATGCTATAAATGCAACAGTAATTCCCAGCTTAGCCTCTTACTGGGACTGAATGAACTAGTGCATGAAAAGTACTCCATGTGGGAAAATGTGAAGGACTGAGAGGGTATTATGCTAAATGAAATAAGTCAGGCAGAGAAAGACAAATATTCTATGATATCACTTACATATAAAATCGAAAGAACAAAATAAACAGAACAGAAGTAGACTCATAGGTACAGAGAACAAACTGATGGTGCCAGATGGGAGGGTGGTCAGGGGCTGTGTGAAAAAGGTGAAGGGATTAAGAAGTTCAACTTGGTAGTTACAAAAAATAGCCACAGGGATATAATGTACAGCATAGGGAAAATAATAGTCAATAATATTGCAACAACTATGTGTTGTGCCAGGTGGGTACTAGACTTATCAGAGGGATCACTTCGTAAGTTATATAAATGTCCAACCACTGTGCTGTATACTTGAAAGTAATATAAAACAATATTGAATGTCATCTGTAATTGAAAAATTAAAATAAAATATCCCAAACAGGAAAAAATAACTATATTGAAATTCCATTAGTAACAAAGTTTTACATACCTGTCAATTAATTGGTATTCCTCAACTGCTGTCTCCTATCATTTTTTACATGTGAAGTTTTCTTGTGTTTCTGTAGATCTGAGGAGAAAATCAAGCACTTCAGTCAACTTAAATCTGAACTTTTTCTTAAAGACAATACTTTGAGGAAGATAGTTTGTTTAATTACGGAACTTAAAGTAGCAGCCCAGAAAAACTACATTCTGAAAAGGCTTTTCTGGAAAGTAGGTGTTTTAATTTTAACCTTTAAAATGTGTTTCAACTGTATCAAACACAGTATATTCAAGGATCAAGTAAAATGCTGTATAAAAAATGCCACCTTGTGTTTTGATGCTGTATTTTACAATCTTAACTAAATTTAATGTAATTGTGCCTTAACACTGGAAATGTGATGTAATTAATGTATGTGTGTGTTGGGGTGGGGTAGATGGGAAGAGAGTGGTAGCAAAAAGATAGTAGCTTGCATAGGTTGGGTTTACAGAATTAAAGAAAAGAGTAACTAAGAGGGGAAGCTTCTGGCTTATGAGATATATGAGTAGAGACAGTGAGATGAGAAAGTAAATTTGAAGAAGTTTTACATGAAGGGTTCCCTACAATAAAAATACACTTAAAAATCACTTTTGAGTGTTTTGAGTCAAAACAACCTAGCTCTCATTCAGCAAGTTTACAGATTTTCCCTGTAAGACTTCCTTAGTTTCATTTTCACCTGAAACTTCAGGTGAAAGGTACTGAGAAGGTATTGAGAAGCCCTGATTAGTGCTGGTGCTGGTGTGAATGAGGCTCATTCTCGCCAGTGGCCTCATACATAGTTGCCACCATTTCATTGAGCAGTTGTGATGTGCACAACCTCCCCAACCATACAGGACAGTCCTGGCCATTCCTTAGATCAGCGGTTCTCAACCTGTGGGTCACCAACCTGTGGGTCGTGACCCCTTTGGGGGTCGAACGACCCTTTCACAGGGGTCGCCTAAGACCATCGGAAAACACATATATAATTACATATTGTTTTTGTGATTAATCACTATGCTTTAATTATGTTCAATTTCTAACAATAAAATACATCTTGCATATCAGATATTTACATTACAATTCATAACAGTAGCAACATTACAGTTATGAAGTAGCAATGAAAATAATTTTATGGTTGAGGGTCACCACAACATGAGGAACTGTATTAAAGGACCGCGGCATTAGGAAGGTTGAGAACCACTGCCTTAGATCCTAAATGCTTCACATGTAGGATGATCGCTAATTCTGGTTTGCCCACTGTAGGGCGCCCAACTGTCCCAGTTGACCATCCCACTCAGGATTTAAAACATTTTTATCATCCCAATAGGTTACCTTTTGCCCTTTGGCAGTCATTTCTTCCCAACCCTGGCCTCAGGCAACTATTGTGTTTTCTGTCACTATAGGTTAGTTTTGCCTGTCCTAGGATGCCACTTGTATGGAATTGTACACTAGGTACTATTTTGTGTCTGGCTTCTTTGGCATAGTATTTTTTAGATTCTTTCATGTTGTTCCAGGTAGGTGGGAAATATTTTATGAGTGAAAATTTCTGAACCAGTAAGCAAGTGGGAGATAATAACAATGGATATTTATTAAGCACTTATGATGTGCTAGCTACTATTCAGGCTTTATAAATACTATCTTATTTAATCCTAACATCAACTCAATGAGGTTAGGATTGAGTTGCAACCCATTAAGCCTATGGTAGAGATGAAGAAACTGAATCACAGAGTATATCCGAAAGTTGCCAAATGTCATCCAACTCATCAGTGGCAGAGCTGGGATTTGAACTCAAGAACCTGGCCCCAGAGTCAGTGTGTAAAACTATGCTAATCTATCAGGGCTCTGGGTAAGCCCAAGCATTTCTGATAGGCCTGGTGACCAGCTTGCTCCTCCCTCTTTATTCCCTCTCTTCACCTGTCATCCTCAGCCTCTTCTCATGCCATATCACCTAAACAAGGGCATACATATCCCTGTCTAAGCAAAGAATCTAAGTTGTCACTAGTTAGAAAAAAAAGTTCTGGGGAAAAATTGAACAATAGAGGAAGAGAAAAGAGAAACAATTACGTCATATTTCTCATTAGTACCAACTTGCCTGATTTCATGGGCCAGTGCTTATTTTCATGCTTGATTTATCTCATGAGACTGGATAGGAACACAGAAAAATTGGTTCCCCCACCATACTTCAGTGTTTATTTTGGCAGGAATGACAATGTACATTTCCACTGCATTAACAGAAGTATTAATATCATTCTGCTCCATCTTCATAAGCTATAGGAGTGCTCTACATTTGTTTTTGTAACAGTGAACATTTTTAAATGAGAGCTTATCTAGCTTTGATTTCATTACATATTCACAAAGGCCAAATTACTTTGGAAAGGCAGGAATTATAGTAGCCTCCAGTTAATATAGTATTCCAAGGTAACTGAATGACTTGCCTGAGATTATCACTTACTTCTGGATACTCTTCAATATTAATGGTCAAACCAAGTCTAGAAGGCATCTCCCAGCATCATTCTCTAGACTTTAGCTCTTGCTCTGCTCACCAGGACAATCGTCTCCTGATTGTAAGTAAAAGTATGTTTTCAATGCAAGTTATGCTAGTATTAATGAGAGATATTTTAAATCACTTCCTGGCCAAAGAAGAAATCATTTCTTCTTTTTATTATTATGTAAGCACCGAGAGTTTTACCAATAGATACCTTAACTTCATCATCTTTCCTGCTTGCTTTCACAGACCAGTGACCTTTTCTATTTCTTAGTGAACAAACTTCAAGAGTACTTACCAGAGTCTAGGGATAAGAACGCACTTCAAAATAAAAGCCAAAGAGCTGATGAGCTGGTGTAAGTACTAACTGGATGATCACACATATTACCTTTCCCTAGGATGTTAAAGATAAATGGAAGGCATTAGACAAAATATATACTGTTTTAATGATTAACGGTGCTGCAAGTTTTGCTTCACATAGAATTTATAAAATAGCATTCATTTTGTGCTAATTTGTAAAGAAATATTACACAAGAAACTAGAAATATTGGCTGTCCTAAAGGGGAAAAATTGGGTATTCTGGAGGAAAGACACTTTTTATTGTATGTATTTTTTTTAACCTTTGAAATTTTGAGCCTAATATTACCTACTTGAAAAAGTTAAATTATTTTTTTAAAAAGTAGTGCATAATTATTATAAAAACTTTAGAAAATACACAGAAATATGAAAACGACTTTTAATCCTGACATCCAGCTATTCATGCATTCAGCAAATATTTTTGGGTGCTTACTATGTAGCAGTCATAGAGTAGGCACTCAATTAGTGTTGGCAATTTGATATACAGAATTTCCTTCCTGTACTGTACTTTTTTCCACATAGGTACCTGAGTGTAATTCTATGAAGGATTACTGACTTTGTGGAATTTTGAATTTGTATTGAAATCATGCCATTTCCATGTTTTTTCTCTCTCTCTGTTTTCTAGGGCATGCATTGGAATTATACAGACTCTGGGACTGATGTTCAGAGAAACAGAAACTGAGCCATCACGTCTGAACACATTGGCAGCTAAGAAGTAAGGTTTGAAAATATTAGGACCTTGTAGTTGCAACCCATTAACTACTCTGTTGAATATCTTCCAAAACTCATAGCTCTCTAACTTCTCTTTTCATCCCCTTGTAAGTATATTAAACTCTTTTGTCCCTCCACTTTGTTCTTGAACAGGTTGGGACTGATGTTCAGAGAAACAGAAACTGAGCCATCACGTCTGAACACATTGGCAGCTAAGAAGTAAGGTTTGAAAATATTAGGACCTTGTAGTTGCAACCCATTAACTACTCTGTTGAATATCTTCCAAAACTCATAGCTCTCTAACTTCTCTTTTCATCCCCTTGTAAGTATATTAAACTCTTTTGTCCCTCCACTTTGTTCTATGAACAGATTAACGGGCACATGCTGAGTTCTCTCTGTCTCTCTGTATTATTAAGGGCACAAAAATTTTCTTAGCATAATTTTATCTTTTGTCATTGTCTGATGAGCTTGAAAAAGACCAATGACCCATAGTACATTAAAAGCCAGGGGGTTCTCTACTAGAATTTTCCCGAGTACCCTTATATCCACACAGCAGAAAAATTACATTGCAAAGGCAGAAGTTATGGTAGCTTCATTTAATATATAATTATGTGACCTTGGAGTGAATGATGTTGGAGGGTTTATTACCATATAGCATAAGCTGCTATAATAAAGATACTCTAAAATATGTGGCCCAAAGAAAGAAATTTACACCTTTCTCACATAACAGTCCAGACAAGATAGTCAACTTTTCCTCGACACAGGATCAGCCAGAGATCTTGGTTCCCTTCCCTTTTGTTACTCTGCCATCTTTTATCAGGCTATCTTTGTCTTTATGGTTAAAGCTGGCTTTTCTTCTTGATTTCATTATACCCTATGGGAAGCAGTGAGAGGAGTAGAGGGCAAGCAAATTTCTTTTTAAAGCAAGGCATATAAGACTTCTGCTCATGTTCTACTGGTGAGAACTTCAGGCATGTGGTCATAATTAGTTTCAAGAGAGGCTGGAAAATGTGTCTATAGTTGTGTGGTTATGTGCCTAAGTAAACCCTGGATGGTACTGGGGACATATGTAATTAAAAGGAAGAATGAAAGACTATATAATAGTGGGACAATATTTTTTGCCAATAAGGTATGTGTTTACATGTTTTGCATATTATCTGCTTGAACTTTTTATAGGAAGCATTTTTGGCTTTTCAGGCCATATAATCTCTGTTGCAATTACTCAACTCTGTCAGTGCAGTACAAAAGCAGCCATAGACAACACATAAATGAATGGCCATACGTTCCAATAACACTTTATTTACAAAAACAGCATCTGGACCATTGGCCTACAGGCTAGTTTGTTGACCCCTGCTTTTCTAGGAAAATATACTCTTGTTCTTTTTTCTGCATACTTCTTTATGCAGCTGGTAGTACCACCATTTCCCCTATCTCCAAGATGGAAATTCAAGATCATTTCTAATATTCCTGTTTTCTCCCACACTGAAATTATTGCTAACTCATGTTACTCTTTTTGTGCA